GGCTGTGGTCCCGTGCCATGAGGGAGGTGCGAGTGGCTCCGAGGTAGAAAAAGGTCTGCCACTTTGGATGGCTGGTGAATCTCAGATAAACCGCTGAAGGGACAAGCTGAGAAGAGAAATCGGAAGCAAGGTTGTCCAGGCCAAGTCGAGTAAGCAGGGCTTTCAGTCTGCCGGAACCACAGGAGAGATGGCAGACGTCAAGTAGCTGAAGCTGTGCGAGTAGCCAGGAGCAAAAATGACGTGCGGTGACGTCATCGGTTGGGAAGAACCGAAGAGTGAAACGGAGGACAGTGAGAAATTGGCAGCAGTGGTGTTGCCAAAAATTGTGCTGCCTGGCTGTGCGTCGTTGTCGGTGTGCTGTTGAGAGTCACTGGTAGAAGTGACTCGCAGCGGCCAGGATGCGGCCCAAGGCCGATGACCCCAGTTTTTATAGGGTTCGCACCGGGATGCCCCATAGCACAGCGGCTCGTTCGAGTTGGGCTCTGGTGTCGGAGTCCAGTGTGGTTGCCCATTTTGCGCAGTCGTTGGACCAGCTTTTTAGGACTTGCTTGCTCTCTTTGCTGGTTTTCTGAGAGGTGATCCATCGCTGGACTTTGGTGTCGGAAATGTCGGGTGGGAAGTTGTTGGTGAGCCATTGGCAAACGTGGGGAGGTGGTTGGAGCAAGTCGCGGGGCTCCTTCCAAGTGGGTGGGGAGGGGAGGGGGGGAGGGGTCGGGGTGCCGCCGTGGGTGGAGGGGGCTGGAGGCGCCGTGGGTGGGGGGAGCCGGGGGGGGTTGGGAGTCGTCTGCAATGCGAGTGGGCAGGGGTAGGGCGGGGGATCCGTCCTGCGGTGATGTGTCAGGTGTAGTCAACCGTGGTCGCTTCATGCCGAAGTCCAGGAGGGAGGCCTGAGATGGATTGGCTGGGCGTTTGTTGGATGAGGTGGGTGTGGGGGGAGGGGGGGGGATGAAGCCTGCTGGGCGAGTTGGTTGTGTGCGTCAGCAAGCTGTTGCTGAAGCTGGAGTATGGTGGCCGCGGAGGCCGGATCGGCCGTAGTGGTGGGTCGGAGGGAGATGAGCAAGTCGAAGATCTTGTTGGTGAGTAGCTTCATGGCTGCTGGTTTGGTGGTCGAGGCGCCCTCCTGCGTGGCGACATGGAGGGCGAGGGCGTCCAGGTCGAGGTGCCGTTGTCGGATTTGGCTGAGTAGTCCAGCAGCAAACACTGATTCCGGCATCGACTTTGCGACAACGATGCGGACTTCGCCTCCGTGGGCGAGGGGACGCAACCACCAACTGTTCCACTGTTCGTGCATGAGGTGGAGGAGGGGGACGCGAGCGATGTCTTGTCCCTCGAGGCCCATTTGCCGAGTAAACGCGGTGTGCGTTATGACCTTGGGCAGGTCGTACCCCGCGACGCGGGTGGTGTCGTAGTGATCGTCGCCAGGGTTGAACTCGGCTGGTGTTGGGACTGAGTGGACGGGTCGAAGGGCCGGGGGAGGTTTGGTTTGCGAGGCGGTGGAGGGGGAGGGGAAAGGTGGAGGGCGGGTGAAGGGGCCGGGGGGAGGGGGGGGAAAGGGGTTGCCGCCGGGAGGGGGGGGGAGAGAGCCGCCAAAGGAGGGTGGACGAGGGCCGGGGTGTGGTGGGTAATGGGGAATAGGTGGGCCGTAGGTCTGACAGGGAGTCGGATGTGTAGTTGGCGGTGTCCATGTCGTGGAAGAGCATCCGTAGGAAGGTCCGGACAGGGCCCCGCACGGGTTTCCGGCCGTGTTGTTGCCGTACATGATGCCATGATGATGGGATGCCGTGGGCGAAGGCTGAGGTGGTAAGTTTTGCCTTTGGAGCATCGGAACCAAACCTCGAGGGGGTTGGAAAGCCATGCGAAAACACGGGGGAAAAGGAAAAGTTCGAACCAAAAGCTGGTGAGCGGAATCAAGCGGGTAAGGTCACAAGGCAAGAGAACGGTCGCAGAAAGGCAGAACAGCAAAGCAAAGAAAAAAGGCGATCAAACAGTGCACCAATTCTTTTCCTGGTTGGGTGGAAGATGGTACACTTGCGCCCCGCTAAGCCGGGCGCTGCAGCGCGATGCCTCTCAGCATCGCAAACTTGGAGTGAAGGCACCACTTTTTGCCTCGGCGCATGCGAAGTGGCGCCGCACGTTGTGTTGATCCTCGTGGCTTCCCCCGGATTCGAGGATTTTGTGCTGATTGATGGAGCGTAGTTCCCCAAAAGCGATGGCGCCGAGTTGAGACTGTTGATCCGATTGTAAAGCATGCCGCAGGAGTTGGCCTGAGCGTGTCGGGCATGCATGCCCCCAAAAGCGATGGCGCCGAGTTGAGACTTTCCGATTGTAAAGTTCTGTGGCCGAGCGTGTCGGGCGTGCATGCCGTGGGGGTGGCCTGAGCGTAGCATCCAAAGCTCGGGTAGTCATGGTTCTCGGGCCTCCAAGCAGCGGGTCGGATCATGTTCTCATGGCACATGCGGCGCACTCGATCCGGGGTGGTGCCGTGCACATACATGACAGCGTGATGGGAGGCCGTGCCGGATCCAGCTTCCGGGTCTCCGCCAGCAACTGGCCAAGGATGAGGTCGGGGAAACCAAGTGGTTGCGAACACCATGCCGTGTGATTCCCGTCCCAAGAGGTGGTAGAAGCTGGGATCGAACGGTATGGGATCATCCGTGTCCATGGTTCGCAGTTCCCAGCATTCCGCGAGGAGATCGGCATGTGAAGGTGGCAAAGCAGGGTCCAGGTCCATCAAAATGGCCTTAGTCTGTTCCACCCTGGAGATGTCCAAGGCTGGAAGCGGGTCCAGCTCCCCCAACTCCCTAGGCGTGGGAACTCGCAGCGGGTCAGTCTTGGCCGTGTCCATGACGTTTCTCCATAGATCAAGCCACCGGTTGTCGGAAGTGGTGGTGGCATTGATGTCCGCCTCCGATGGAGGGGGATCCAAATCACCGGTGTTGTCGAAGGGGGGTTGGGGAGGGTGAGGAGTAGCCGGCGTGGGTCGGGGAGGGGGAGGGGGAGTGGAAGTGAAGGCCGCCGCAGGTGCTGGGTGAGGGGGCAAGCTAGTGTTGTGGTGGCCGGTGCGGGAAGTGGGGTGGGGTTGCTGCCCATGGTGCTGCAGTGACCAGGACGATCGTTTGTCCTGGTTGTTTCGGTGGCCGGTGTGGCTGGCGCCATGGTGGTGCATGTCCCAGCGGTTTTTGTTCTGTGGTGGGTATCCCCACGATTGGTTCCGCCAGTGTGAGGAGGACCATTGAGACTTGTTGGAATCCTTCCCGGAAGTGCGCCAGGAGTCCTTCCCGGAAGTGCGCCAGGAGGCGGAATCATGAGGAGTGTGAGTGGGTCGGTGCGAAGTCGTGGCTCTGGGTGTAGGGGAGTGTCGATGGTGGGACCTGTGTCGGGGGGAGCGGGAGCGGAGGGAGACAGTGGAGTGGTGTGCACGTCGGGAGTGGTGGAAGTGTCGGGAAAGGGAACGTGACCTGCTGTAGCTGCGGGATCGTCGGGTGTCGTGTCGTCGGTGCGACTTGTTGTGCCTGCGATGGTGGCTGGTGTGGGAGTGGGAGTGTCGGTGCTGTCTGTGGCGGGAACGGGATCTGCGAGAGTGGGGATGGTGCCGAGTGTCCGGGGGAGGGTGGTTGGTTGAGGAGGTAGCGGCAGGAGCCGCAGCGGCAGCTTCGGGCGCGCGCGCCGGCTGAGGCTCGGGCAGTGAAGATGGCATGCTGCTCTGAGTCATGAAAGGCATGATGGTGCCAGGTGCCAAGTTGCCGTAATTGGGAGGGCCACCGTAGGGCATCATGGCCATCGGGTTGCCAAAGTTCGAGGGGCCGCCGTTGTTCGAGAGGCCGCCGTAGGGCATCATGGGGAAAGGTGTGAAGGATGCCGTCTGCGAGTTGGGTGACGGTACAAGGTTCATGGGCTGCGTCATCTGGGATGACAGCTGCAAGTTCGGTCCACAATTGCCTGGCGAGCCGGACGCGGTGCCGGTCGCAATGCTGTGCAGGAGCGAATGCATCATGTCATAGAGCTGGTGTCCAGCCATCTCGCAAGGGAGAGAGAAGGTTGGAAAGGGGTGAAACAAAACCACAACTGCGGCAAAAATGCGTCAATGGTGCAAATGCATGCGAGCAAAAATGCGTCAATGGTGCAAATGCATGCGAGCACAAAGGGGTTCTCAGAGGTGCCTGTCAAGTGGCCTCATGAAAGTGCCTCATGTGGCTATGCCGATGAATCTGAACTGAACTCATCCGAGACGAAAGCTTCCATAAACACCACGAATTGCAGAGTTGGTGTATGACCAACTCGTCACTGGCGCATGAAGCTTAGGAACCTGAAACCTCGTGGGTGCAGCCTTGCATCAAAGGCAGGCAGTGCAGGCAGTGCAACGCGCATGAAACCAGCAGAGCACCATTTGGGTGCGGAATACCTTAAGACCTCAAGCTGCAGCCTTGATCGTGGTCAAACGCGCTGAACTGAACTGCAGCTTGAATTTGAACACTTGAACGGTCTTCCCCTCGCAGGGGGCTCCCGCATATGGCGAGTCCAGCCCACAGCGCCATGTCGGACAGGCCGTGGGTAAACACACT